CCACCATCTGGCTTGCTTGGTTCCTGGCCAGAATGTCGGATGCTTTGTCGTCCCTAACTAGCGCCTTGTGCACCACCATGAACCGTGCCTCCTAGATGATCCGTGACAATATTGGTGGGTAGCTCTCCGCGTCGCGCCATCCATACTCCCCCCGTCCCAGCACCGCCAACGCGTCTACCAGCGCGCACTCATAATCCTCCACCTGAACCCGCTGGTCCAGCAGCTCAATGCAAAAATCCAAACATGCCATCTGGATCTTGGTTGATTTGAACTTATCTTCTTCTTCTGACTGCGTATCTCTCTGTCCCTTCTCCTCCTCCTCTTCTTCTTCCTCAGTCATCTGCTCATCCATGGGGTCTGGGCTGATGGGGTGTCGCTGGTCGGCTCCCTCTGTGGTGGCTACCTGCCATAATACCCTCCATGTCTTGCGCTGCCGTGGTGTGAACCGGTACTGTGGGCTCGTCCATTCATGCTCGACCTGCGTTCGGGCGAAAAACATCAACATCTGCTGCCATGGCCTCACGTGCTCGGCGATGCTCTCCTCATCCATGTATGCCTGCAACGGGGTGTGCCGGGTCTGGTGTCGCTCTGTGCGGATGGCCTCGATGCGGACGAAGTGGCCCAGCCGTGTGATGACTCGCTGGCTGGTACGGGCAACCTGCCCCATGGCCTCCCAGATGGCCCTCGCGGCCAGTTCATCTGGGCACGTGGTGTCATCGTCGGGCCGCTGGACGCAGTTGACCAGATCATTGGGTGCGATGTTGGTCAAGTACACCGGCCATCTGGTCCGCCGCAGCCATGGGTTGGCTTCATCGTGCTCCCCGGCCTGGATGACATTGCTGGTCTGCCGTTGCTGTTCCCGGTAAAACCGCTCCAGCTCATCAATGACATGGCTGGCTCTGTTCTGGTCTGGCGTGCCGGTGTGCTCAGTAGTCTCCTTAGTCTGGATCTGTATGTAGTGGGAGCCCTTGCGCGATGCAAATATCTGCTGGAACTGCACCTTCTGGCATGATCTGTCCACCTCATCCTGTGCTGCCGTACGCTTTTGTGGCGCTGTACGGCCACGGCTGGGATATGGCGACCAGCTGTGCTTGTTCTGCCAGTGCTTGCGTATGGTGTTCATGTTCCCTGCCAAATACTGGCACTGGGGATCCTGCTGGCACCTGTAGCCATCTTGAATGGGTAGTTCCGGGATTGGTTCATTCAGTATTGTGGGCAGTGTTAACTGTGTAGTATGTGGGCAGTGTTAACTGTGTAGTATCTCGAGCCACATTGTCCCACTGTTCAATGTTCTCCTTTATCTGCTGAACCACCGCATGCTTTAGCTGATGGGCCTTGCCTTTCAGATGCCGTTCAATCTCTGTTGGCCACACAGCGTGCTTGCACCGGCGGCATATGATAATGAGGTATGATTCACAGTGGATAAATAATTGATGTTCCATGTCGATGCTGGGTCTGTCTTGTGCATTGAATATATATATATTTCCTTCATTCAGTGTCTTTGTGTGAAACTTGACAGATCTGATCTGGTGTGAATGTTTGTTTTTCTGTGGTTAAAATCACTCCAGGATGAAGCCTTTCAGTTTTCTTATATGTTTTGCTATTTTTATTTACTTTGTTGATCTTGCACCGCTTTGCGCCGCTCCGTTGCCTGGGGTGAAAATATATATATTTAGTTGGGTCTGGTTGGGTTGATGGCTTACCCCATCAAACATCGCACCTCAACTCATTGACTTTGACACTAAAATTTAACCCCTTCCCGGCGGAATTATCGCTTTTGATTTGGATATGTTGTATTTCATATCCACTACGGCCTACATGCAAAGTTTGAAGTCAATTGACTCCGTGGTTGATTGGACGTTCAACGTCTGAAACCAAATGGAATGTACGTCCAATCTGCCCTGCTCTGATTGGTCGGTTTTCTAACCCTGAATGGAATGGACGTCCATTCCACCCCCACCTGTTGGATAGGGTTCGGGTCCAATGGGCTAATGCGTTCCTTGGACGGGTTTGACGTCCAACGGGTTGGGTCCAGCGTGTTCGACTTCCAACGGGTTAATGCGCTCCTGGGACGGGTTTGACGTCCAACGGGTTAATGCGCTCCTGGGACGGGTTTGACGTCCAACGGGTTTGACGTCCAACGGGTTGGGTCCAACGGGTTCGACGTCCAACGGGTTGATGGGTTCATCCAACGGGTTCGGGTCCAATGGGTAAATGGGCTCCTTGGACGGGTTTGACGTCCAACGGGTTTGGGTCCAGCGTCTTCAACTCCCAACGGGTTAATGCGCTTCATCGATCTTTATATATGCATATATCTTTTATCTCTATGTGGTGCTCGTCAACATCTGCCTCTCACCTGTGATGTCATTTGACCTCTATGCCCCTGACTCGATCTTCCCGCCCCTCTACCTTCTGATATAATCGTCCACCGTGTTCGACTTCCAACGGGTTGATGGGTTCATCTAACGGATTCGACGTCCCAACGGGTTAATGCGCTCCTGGGACGGGTTTGACGTCCAACGGGGTTGGGTCCAGCGTGTTCGACTTCCTCATCCAACGGGTTCGACGTCCAACGGGTTGATGGGTTCATCCCAACGAGTTCGGGTCCATGGGTTAATGCGCTCCTTGGACGGGTTTCGACATCCCAACGGGTTGGGGTCCAGCGTGTTTGACGTCCAACGGGTTTGACGTCGCAACTGGGTTTGGGTCCAGCGTGTTCGACTTCCTCATCCAACCGGTTCGACGTCCAACGGGTTGATGGGTTCATCCAACGGGTTCGGGTCCAACGGGTTAATGCGCTCCTGGGACGGGTTTGACGTCCAACGGGTTGGGTCCAGCGTGTTCAACTCCCAACGGGTTAATGCGCTCCTGGGACGGGTTCGACGTCCAACGGGTTAATGCGCTCCTGGGACGGGTTTGACGTCCAACGGGTTGGGTCCAGCGTGTTCGACTTCCTCATCCAACGGGTTCGACGTCCAACGGGTTTGGGTCCAACGGGTTTGACTTTCAATGGGTTAACGGGTTTGCGTCTAATTTAACCGCCTATCCTGACCTCACTGCCCACCCCTGTCTCTAGCCTCACTCTTTTTCAACCCTAACCCTGACTCTGACCACCTCATCCTTCCCCCCAGCCTCTCACCTTCACTCTTTGTAACCCTAACCCTGATCCATTATCATATGGGATGATACTGTTTGAAACTGATCTTTTGAACCTGATCTACTTTCTCTTGATGTTATATCCCTTTACCCTCTGTCTCTTGCTTCACCTGCCTTTATATATATATACATCTTTCATCCTCCTGTGGTGCCTCTCACCCGTGATGTGCCCCTCACCCATGATATCACTTGACCTCTGTACCCTCTAACTCGATCTTCCCCCTCTCTGCCTCCTGATATATCCCTCGCAGCCAACAAACCATCTCCACCAGCCGGTTGTGCTCCATGCCCTGCCCCTCAACCTTCTGTCCCAAAAATTCAATCACCGCCTCCTGATCATCTGCATCCACATTGAACTCTCTCAGCCGCTGTCTCCACGCCTGCTTCATCTGCCCTGCATGACACCCATACATCATCATTGCCACTGTCGGGATCAAAAATCCCCTGTACGGACACTGCCTCTGTGTCTTCCAGCTGTTGCATATGGACTGCGGCATCCCGCATCGGAAGCACCCGGAATACCGTGTGTATTTGATCTTGCTCCGCACTGTCATCATCCATCTCTTTGCCTCCTGGCTCTCCTCGTGGGGACACTGGTACAGCTCATGGTCAAACTCCCGCTTGCCATTTGCACATATCACACACTGATCCTTCCACCTCTGCGCCTCTTCCACTAAAACCTCCTCATCCATCAATGCCCTCTGCCCTCGCTGCTGATGTGTGATGATGAACCGGCCTTGATGGACATTCTGTTTGTGGAATGTCTGTCTGATTGTTGATGGGATGCCTCTGATGTCTTCACTGATTACCCTTCATTCTGATTGCCTGTGAACGTGTAATCCGCCTCCTTCATGGCGCTCACCACGGCCCACTCTCCCACCATCTGGCTTGCTTGGTTCCTGGCCAGCATGTCGGATGCATTGGCGTCCAGTCGCACCGCCTTGTGCACCACCATGAACCGTGCCACCTTGATGATCCGTGACAATATTGGTGGGTAGCTCTCCGCGTCGCGCCATCCATACTCCCCCCGTCCCAGCACCGCCAACGCGTCTACCAGCGCGCACTCATAATCCTCCACCTGAACCCGCTGGTTCAGCAGCTCAATGCAAAAATCCAAACATGCCATCTGGATCTTGGTTAATTTGAACTTATCTTCTTCTTGATCCGTGACAATATTGGTGGGTAGCTCTTCGCGTCGCACCATCCATACTCCCCCCGTCCCAGCACCGCCAACGTGTCTATCAGCGCGCACTCATAATCCTCCATCTGAACCCACTGGTTCAGCAGCTCAATGCAAAAATCCAAACATGCCATCTGAATCTTGACTAATTTGAACTTATCTTCTTCTTCTGACTGGGTATCTCTCTGTCTCTTCTCTCTCCCTCCTCCTCCACAACGACTCGTCTCTTCTTCCTCAGTCATCTGCTCATCCATGGGTCTGGGCTGATGGGTGTCGCTGGTCGGCTCCCTCTGTGGTGCCTACCTGCATAATACCCT